ACTTACAAGTGATGTCAGACCCGTCAAAACCATATTTTCCATTTCTGAAGTCACTTTGGCTCGGGCATCCTCGATATAAGGTACATGAACCGCGATGGCATTTACCGACCTTAAAGATATTCGGGATTCAGTTGATGTCCTTCTATATCCGATTGACGGGTTTCCTCGGACGTACATGAAGCCGAATCATCCAGTAACGACACTGCAGTGGGGTCACGCAAGTCCACGAACCGATGAATCTAGGGACATACCAAGCTCCGCGATGCTAAGCGCTGCCTTTGCGATAGTGCGCTCTTTGGCGTCCTCGAGGTCTTGACCCAAAGCAGATTCATCGGATTTGCTTCGGATAAGCGGCAGCGGCAGATCCGGGGTGCTACTACCGGACTCCATCTCGGCCATCTGTATTTGAAGTCTGCGAGCGAGAATCACAAATCGAGAAGTGCGACGTAGAACATCCGATGCCTGCTGAAGTTTCTGGAGACGGGAGACATTGGCTTGAAGGGACTGATATGGCGCACGAACTTTGAGACGTAATCTAGTAAGGATGGGTACATGTGGCATTGAATGGAACCACAAGACGCACTTTTCGAGAGAATGATCAAGGTCGGCGAGCCCGGCGCGAACAGAATTGAGGGAACCGGATAGTTCATTTGCACTTGCTGCTTGTGAAAGAAATCTTGATGATGGTTGGTCACCTATTATCCAAAAATAATGAATGAACAATGTGCTGAATGACAATATGCACTCACAAGAGTCTTTATTTGCTTGGAGACATCGTCAATGCCAAAAGTGAGTTTCGATATCGCTATGGAGATTTCTTCTTTTCCTGGTGCCTCGGCAAGCTTGTTGGAAGAAATCAAAGGCTTTGTACGTGTGTCGGATGGAAGGACATATGGCTCGCCGGCAAGGACAGCATTGGCGTAGTCATTAGGGTCGAATTCGGCACTTGCGAATACGGAGTAGTCTGTCAGGTGTGGTGAGACGATGGCGAGAGAATAAGGTGCAACAAGCCACGTACCAGCAGGAGCAGACATAGAATACGAGTCGACGTCCAAGCTGATCACATGACCATTGCTACGCGTTATGACGTCACCTGCATACTTCTATTCTCGGCCGTCATGCCGGGGAGTATAAATATCGGAGGTTCCAATCGCGATTGACATTCATCTCTTAGCTCCCCCCCTCCTCATGTCGTACGCCTACTATCATCAAGCCCCCGGCTGGGGGTCCAATCAGGTATTCGTTGGGATTTCTCTGATTGTCCAGATTCCCTTGTATTGACGGCCCTTTACTTATTTAGTTCCATTTCGGGGCACCACCTGCTCCCACATTTCAGCCTCAGCCATCTTGTGTGTATTATATTACCTCTTATCTTACGCGCACGTTTCTGATTCCCGTCATAAAGGGGGTGGCATTGATTATTACCGTGCCCATGCCTTGAATCAGGCTGATCCGTGAGCATACGTTCCCTCGTTATGTTCCCCAGTGCTCATTCAACGAATTCGCTATCTCCTTCTACGTCTCCATCACTCAGACACCTCTTTGATAATGCCTGGAATCGTGTCAGAGATTTTAGTTCCAATTCTGGAGGCCTCGGTGTAGGCATACACGAAGCCCGACATTGGCACTCTCGTGCCTACGGTGGTTTGGTATGAATTATCTACCTCTCTATTGGCTCTACGTGATCCGCTCATAGGGGACTTTCCAGGGTGAACTCAACCAAATGCTTCCACAAGAAATAGGCCACGCTGCTGCTTACGAAGCCTATCGTACATGGATTCACAATAGCTCCATTTACGAACCGCTGAGTGGCGACTTTGAAAGGCAACGAGAGGCTCTCATCGGTCTTGCTGTAGCGGAATGTCAGTTATGCCTGTCTCGCCCCACTGTTGCACTCACCGTGTTATGAATGTAGGCTCGCGGTTACTGAGCTATACCTCCCGCGGCATGGACAATTACGCTCGTTCAGCCGCAGCAGACGCTGCAGCGATGACCGCATCGATAATATTTTATTGGGCAAGTCATCATTTGTTTTCCTCATACTTCAACAATTAATTTGGATCTGCAGAGCCGTGATCACGATGACGATTACCGGGGACGTGGATCCCAGGGAGACCCATATGATGACAGATATGAATATGATTCCGACGTTCTCCATGGACACCATCGCGGCCGATCGCACTCTCGACGCCGATCTCACTCAGTATCCTCATACAACATGCCTTACTCAGGGGGCGGAATGACATCCGCAGTGCCTATCCCGATACCCGGGATGGCGTCAAGCATCGCCTACCCAGGACAGCAAGGACCTTATGGAGGGAGCTATGGACAGCCAGGAGCTTACGGGCAGCCAGGATCTTACCCAGGACAGCCCGGATCTTATCCTGGTCAGTATGCGGGGTCGCAATATGGGGGCGGCGTGCCCATGTCGATGCACGGTGGGGGGACTACCTATGCTGGTTCAGATCCAGGAGGCCCCATGGGTAGTGGTGGATACGTCACGACACAGCTACCTATGGCTATGCGTCCTCGGAGCGTCTCCATGTCAATGCCTGGACACTACCCCCACACTCCATACTCCGCAGGCGGGTATGATGATTGGCGGGGTTCCTCAAGCTCAGATCATGCCTCAGGTGCCGCAAAGCCAGGTAGTCGTCTTGAAACCGAACAAGAAGCACCGTCACCATAAACATCATCATCGATCAAGGTCTCGCTCCAGCAGATATTAGTTTGTGCCCATCTTTGCTGTAACTGTACAACATGACTTGTCTTTTGTATCATGCGTCCTCATCTTACCAGTTCATCTATCTATTCATATCCCGTTGTCACATATGTACCCTACTTTGTACTCGCATGTTCGAATTGTAATGATTGTTACTGATAGTTGGAAACTACCACTATGTATGACGCAGTTACTGTGGCAATGCAGTACTGCACGGTCGTTTTCCAAGGCGACTTCCACCCCACGTGCTATGTAGTATCCGACTGAAATCGGTGCATATGGGATAATATGTCGAGGATGGTGATATGCGGCCCACCCGTAGTCGCCGCCAGAAATCCAAGAAGGCATCGACCATAAAATGCGATCAATGTCCCCCAAAGGTGTTCAACGCCACACAAGTCCTTGACAGCCAAAGAGTGTATACAAAAACCGATGCCCGTAAATGCTTGCGAACACAGTTCTGACTCTTCGTTTCCTAGTAGGCAGTAACATAGACAACGTCAAGGATACCGACCGCGTACTGAATTCCTGCGTATGTGGAAACGCCGAGCATATATACCATGAACCAGCAACGTCAATAGGGCGAACAGGCTGGTCCTGATCGATTCACGTCTGGCGTATCCGCTCACGAATTCACGTACTGGAGAGTAATTTTCATGTCAAATGCCTGTCCGCATCAAGTCGAACAAATTCTGTTTTGCCTTCCGGTGCGGCTTGGGGTCCTGGTAAGGGATTTCTTCTTGGAATGTCGGTCCGAGAAAGCTAAGCATTATTTGTAGATCATCGGAGTGTTGGGCGTGGCGCTAGGAGGTATTATCGCTGTTGGAGGTATCATTCAGTACACTCACCTAGGTAAGAATGAGCACATCAATCACGTCCTCCCCTCCTAACTGGCTGTGGAACCAGGTGGTGACATCAAGAATAAGTTGCCATATGTCATCCAGATAGTCGTATATGGATTATACGCGATTATATCTCTTGGCGGGTAAGTGGAGCCTCCACAAGCGCGGTGATGCATGCTGACACCACGGGAAACAGATTAGTGGGGGCTGTCATCAAACGCATTGGTTTAATCAAGACGTTCTATTTCATCCTCATCGTGCATGTCATGTTTAGCATTGCCTCCGGATCCTTCTCCATCTATCGGTATTTCAAAGATGCGCCCGACAGCGTGAGATCATGTGTCAATGGATCCCAGGACGATCTGGTCGTCGAGGGATGCGAAAAGGGTGTATCCGTGATGAAAGGTGTATTGATCGGAGTCTTCGTTTTCGTATGGTTAATGGAAATATGGGGGTGTATGATCGTCAAGAGCTATTCGAGACAGCTAGAAGATGAGGCAGATGTAAAAGCATATGCGAATAGGCAGTGGGGGTAGCTTTCTGATCATGGACCGAATGTGAAAACTTTGAACGCTCTTATTCGATGACTACTTTCGGAACACTTGCAGCGATGACTATTGTACAACAGAATTACTCTGTGGATGACACAAATCACTAGGCGTAGCATAGAACCCTGTAGTTCTTCATATGGGTAATCATTAGTACCCAAATCATCGGTTTACCAGTATCAAATGACTTACGTGGACGGTCTTCTCATGGTTGTCGTACGGGATGACCGCACCTGTGAAACATTAGATCCCTGCTGTTCTTCCATACGTATTCAGAAGTAACGTACCATCGAGCTTGGAACTAGCCTTTCCAGGATGCACGGCACCCTTGTGAGGCGCTTCGGCGATATACAACGGCGTCCCATCGCTCTCGCGACCACCCTCAACGGGGCGAGCGCCTAAAGCAGCTACATCAAGCCTACCACTGGCATCAACCCATCGCAGACCACGCATATCCCCAACGAGGATTTCATAGGTATCGAGCTAATCGGAAAACATCAAATCCAAGCTAGAACGACGAAACAGCGTCACCTACATGGATCTCCTCGTCATCGTATCCAATAACGGCACCTTTCTTGAAGACATCAGATGCTTTGCCGATTTCTGAGAAAAGACTAGTCAGGGGTTCGTCGATGGTAAAATTATGATCGGAGACTCACGAATACCGCCCTGTATTGTGTGAAAACCTGAGTAAGTGCTATTCATCGGAAAGAAGAAGGAACAGATGTACCTCATAAAAGGCGCGACAAATATATAAGGTCCAATCATGCTCCCTGCCGACAACAATTGCGTTGTGAGGGATATTCTTGCCTTGGTTCAAGATCCACTCGGCCGGTCCTCTGGGACCATTGTGGCGGTACTGCTCAGTGCGTGCTTGGGCGTCTTGAAGCCAGTTCTGAAGTGCCCAAGTTTGCGCTTTTTTCTAAAAGAATTGAAAGATGAAGGACAAGAATGCGTATGCCCGAATTGACTAACCTCTTCTTCGCTCTTTTTATGCCCCTTGAAAGCCAAGTAGCCGGCGCCGAGAAGAGCGGCACCTACAAGCAAAGATGTGAGCTGAAGATGACGGTCAAAAGGACACGAGGTTGTACCTGCTACGAGACCTCCGCCTACCTATTAGTTGAAGGTCAGATGCGGCAAGCTCCTTTTCATGAAAGACAAAAGTTTCACCTCAAGCTGATGTTTCTTCTCACCATCGAAATCGAACCAAGCCTTGTGGTCTGGTTTCTTGTCAGGCGCCTCTGTGAGAGAATAAGATTGTTGTTGAAATGATACAAGGGAAAGACACGCACGTTCATTGTAGTGAGGTTGCTCCTGAGGTGGGGGTGGAGGCTGGTATTGCTGCTGCTGCTGTCCCTGGTTATAGCCCGGTTGATAACCAGAGTTGTCGCATTCGCCAGTATGATCTTCATCTGAGAGGCGTCCCCACAAAGCGGGAGTGTTGTCGGGAGCCAGTCAGACTGAGAGGAATGCGGCTGGATGATCTTGTATCGATGGCCTGCATAACTTGAGCTATATATTGCGCGCTCAGTAGAGGGGAGCTTACCATTGTACTGAACAATGTCGCCGTGGTTGTATTGAGTGCCAGGTTCCCAGTATTGAGTCATGGTTGCAGGAAGAGATGAGGATGAACGAGACGGAAGAGTCCGGTGTGTTATATCGAAGGGAGGTGGCGTGGGCCGCGATGTATTGCGTCAGGGTGACTCAGGACCCAGACGATGGATGTGTACTGATCAGTCTATATCGATGAATCAAAGGCCACCAGACCAGACACGTTCAATGCCAAGATCTGGGCATCGATGAAAGCAAGTACCATTTGCAGATGCTGCCTTGGAGACAATACGGACTAGAATCAGCATCAGTGACTGAAGAATGCGAGAAATGCTTTCAGTTGCGATGGGAGTCGATACCGGCCAGTAACCTCCGTGTTCACAGCCCTTCGACAGATCCATTGCGGTCAAGGAGATTCGACTACTCGCTGATGAGTACTAGTGCTCACTAACATTGTAGTTGTCGGCGTCGTAGTGGCGCCGTGGGAACAATTTTAGACTTACTCATCTCCATTACGAGAACAAATAGTGTGGGGCAGCCTCCGTTCACTACGTCCACTCCCTTCGAAAATCCTACACAATGTCGGCGCCAGCAGTATCCAAGTTTCAAGCATTCATGAACCATCCAGCGGGTGCGGTGTCTTCGCGTCTCGACTAGTATCCTCACCGACGACTGGCTGCAGGTCCGAAGACAGTTTTCTTCTGGGCTCCAATGATGAAGTGGGGTCTTGTTGCTGCAGGTCTCAAGGACCTGTCGAGACCAGTGGAGAAATTGAGCGTCTCTCAAAATCTCGGTTCGTCGTAGCCGTTTTTTTCCCTGCAACACCAGCTCATTGACTTCAAGCGCTGACTGCAACCGGGTTCATCTGGGTGCGGTATGCCTTTGTAATAACGCCTGTTAATTACAGTCTTGCTGGAGTATGCGAATCATGTTTTTTCGTTGCGCCTAAACCTCACCCCCGTTCCTAGGTCAACTTTTTCGTTGGATTGAGTGGCTTAACACAGCTGGGAAGGATTGCCAAGTGCGTCGTCCTCTTCTGCCTTTGTTGGTTGATGCCTGACGTCCATTGCAGCAACAAGTGGCTTTCATGAGCACTCGCGGATATAATACATATTATACGTTCGAATTACATAGATTATCGTGAGACTGTTGTCTTGGCTCTGCTGTCATTTCCATCATCTTGTCCTCTTCCATCTGCCATAACGTCCATCGCCATATCCCACCACCGTGTGATTGCCCCAATCACCTCCTTGGCATTAAAGTCGCTACGGCTTTCCGGCTCATTTTTTGTTTCCTGCCACGCTCGGTGACGATCAAATGACTCCCAAACCCGGGGCCTCTGCGGGGGTGTCCTCGGTTTACGTTTTGAGGTTTGTCCACTGGGACTATTCAACATATCCATCGCCATCTCTCCAAGGCTAGACCATGGCATCAATCCTCCACTTTTGTTGGCCTGTAGTTGTTGGCTACCAAGCACCCATCCTGAGGCCCCGATTAGAGCGGCCACAATGGTGCCCCATTTGATAAACCAGAAGCTGGTGCGCAACATCCAGCTTGTAGTCCGATACAGACTCATGAGAGCGATATACGCTGAGAACACAGCGATAAGAGGGGGTAGTAGTGTTTGCGCATCCCATTGGAGAGGATTCGTTGAGACAAGCTCGCCGACCAGAGTGTAGAATGCGGTGCAAAACGCCAAACAGTGCGACAGCATAGAGATAATGAAGGAGTAGACTGGTGGTGGCAGTTGTTCCTTCAGAAAGGAGAGTATAGGCTCCAGGAACTCGGTAAGAAGGTCCATTGTTGAACGGGTCACTGCTGGTTAACTGGAGTGTCAATAAGAGAAGCACGAGCAAAACACGACTGACCCGGATGTCCGGCACGGAGTTGCTATATATGGACCGGAAAATGGGGTTCTCATTAGGTACTCGAAGCAAATAGCCGTCAATAATCAACAACCATAAAAGGGACCGAGTCTCATACGAATCCCATCCAGGGCGTCTTCTCTCCTTTCCATCACCTCCTTCCTCCGCTGTCCCGTCTTTGCTGTACCGACCCTAAGTCTTCTCTGTCCTTGTCACTATCCGTCATGGCCATGAAAAGAAAATTTGATGATGCCGGCGACGCGACGTACAAGGTACGCGTCTTGATCCATACTATCCCCCTTGCCAACTCTGCGCTTTCAGGAAGCAAAACAGCTGAAATGCGTTCCTTTCCCCCACTGCGAACCTGACAACGACGTCGCAATGTCTGACGCCGAGCCTCTTTATTCCTCTCATCATATGCGCGCCTCTTCTAATGCCAGCTCAGCATCCTCCGACACAGATTCTCCTTCGACGGAATCTCGTACGTAACGCAGCTACCCTTTTAACTCTCACAAGTCGTTTACCACACTCTCAGCCGCCTACCCGAACTTTGAAATCTACCCCCTTCCTTTCTTCAACAGCGCTGAAGCCGTCGACCAAAATTCTCACCCTTACTCAGACTACTCGACTCAACCTAACATCGGTCTCTTGCAGCCTCACAGCAACTTCGTACATCACGGGTAGGTGCACGTTCTAACTTACCTTGTGCGGTCCTTGTCAGTCGAACTATGCTCATGATGTCTTCCTTGCCTTGCACGAATTCGTGTTCTTAGTTCCCATTGCTCGCAAATTCCGAAATTACGTGTCGCCTGCGCTTCCGGAGTCCATGGACAACGTACGATGTGGAGTTTCTGCGAACAATGCGGCGCGATTTCCATGGTCGACAGTGATTGAACACCAGACGATCTCGACAGCCATCCTTTTTCACCTTTGAACCCATCTCTCTTTCCATCTCCTTTTCGCCACCTACCATGTCGACCTCTGCTTGCATCTCCCTTTTCATCCCTTTCGCTCCTCCTTTTGTTATTTTATACATTTTTTATTCCTTTCAACTCTTGGCGACTCTCATCCGGTATCTCTGATGTATCGGCACACACTCACCCAGTAAAACTTACCGGCACTCCTCTTTCGACGTCCTTTCCGGAACATCGATTCTTGCGACCTCGTCTGCTCAAAATGTCACATACAACCCATCAGCATTCGATATGTCCCAACTGTATATATTGGCTCCGGACTCATTCGTATATATAAGTACCTTGTAGTACTGTCTTGTTGCTGCTCGCTTGCGCTAAAATATCTATGCTTATCGTTAAAGTGGTGGTGATCTCTGATGAGGTGCATTTTACGAATGTGTTTCGCTGAGAAATACCGTGGATATTTCATGTCGCACTTTGAAAGGAATTTTCATGGCTGTTTGTATTGAGCGCTTGAGCTTCCAGTGATAGAGTTTTCTTGCACGAGTGGAGAGAGTAACTTTAACTTTGTTGTTTTGGTTTTCTAATTTATCTCGGTGTTCTCGGGAAGTTCTTCTATGCGCTCGCAAGTTCCCCAAGTCCATACCTTACTTAGACCTTCTTTCATCATCCCAAAATGCCCCTGTCTATCAATGCAAACGGCTGTAAATATGCTGTTCCGACCGTATGAGGTAACGTTGATGTGCTGTCGGGCAGTCAACTACGTGTACACACCAAGTACATCTGGTAGGCACTTGACCAGGTGGTTCAGTCATCTGAAGGCATGTCATGGTTTGGAGCATTTATAATTTGTAAGTAAGAACTGCTAGTCCAAGTTTCAATCATTTCCTCAAAAACGCACGAACGTCTGCCACTAGTCCTTGAAGCTTGAATATTTGAATCTTGAAGGCAGACAGTCCAAGGCCAAAATCTCTCGCAGTTGAAGTTTTGGAGGACGGGCCGTTTGGATGCTCCAGATTCCCAGTAAGCCACTCTGAATCGTTCAGGTGTATTTCAGCTTTCCCAATGATTTCAAAGCGCAGTGGTACACGACGCAAAAACAAGCACTTGCCAAGTGCTTGTTTTTGCGTCCTAGACTCTGCATTTGCCTCGGCGGAAAAAAATTGCGCTTTTATGTGATGCGACAAATACCTAGCGTACTTGACAGCTCCAACAACCAGGGCTGGCTGGCTGACGGCCGGTGAGCTCATAACCTTCGTCCTGGACTCGTTTGCATACTTGTGAATTATGGCTCATTATTTTCACATTATCTCAGGATGGCATGCATAGGATGTACGACCGTGATGAAAAAGCTTCAGCTAAGCTTCGACTGAGCTGCATGCGGTAATACATTCAAGATTACGGCGCTCCATTGCAATCAGCCATGTTTCCATGCGGAATAAGGGGTCTCCGGCTCTTCGCTCTGATGCATCGATTACTTAGCTGTCCAGCTGGGCTGAACATTTTAGGCGGTCTGTCATCGCCATATACCCCCATGCGGCTTCAGTTCCACTCGGAAAGAGATCCGATACTGTTAAGGAGACTGTTTCTGTCTCAAGCTCGTCTAACGCTGACTAGGATTGCTGTTGAAACTGGACCCACTTTAGACAACTCCAAGTCAGCTATCCGATCTTCCCGGGATGCTAGAAAATGTGCGTCATAGGTAGGTTGTACAGCTAATAATTTGATTAGACATCATCGGCAACATTCTCTGGACCATGCTTCCTCTTTGGCCCAGCGGCAGAAGCTCCACTTTGATGACACTTGTTTCCATTCTAGACGAGTAATACACTGCTATAAAACTCTCCACACCCCGCATTACTCGTCCCCATCCTTCTCCAGTATTTCTCCCCACATCATGGCTACTACCGCCGAGAAAGAAAAGCGTGACTCGGAGTCGTTTCACGAGTACACCAACGCTGGCGGGCGCAAGGCCGAATCTACCCAGAACATCAATGCCAAGCTAGCTAATCCTCTCGCTGGATTGTCGCATGAACAGCTAATTCAGGATGCAAAGGATTTCGCCAAGCGTTATGATTTGGACGATCTATCGCTGGAGCTACAGAAGGGCGCTCTCGTCGCCCAGGACACTACACTGTTCGAGACTCTGCCATTACTGGATGAAGACGACAGAATCGCCCTTAGGCGGGAGCTCACACATCGCTGGGATCAGCCAAAAATGTTGTATTATCTCGTCATCCTGTGCTCAGTCGCTGCAGCCGTGCAAGGCGTACGTGTTGTTCACTCTTCGCCCTTTCATTCTGCTCATAAGCATTCAGATGGACGAGACTGTTATTAACGGAGCTCAACTTTTCTTCCCGAAACAATTTGGCATAGATCCTAATACACAGGATGGTAATGCTAGTAAGAATCAATGGATACTGGGTCTAGTAAACTCCGCGCCTTATTTATGCTGCGCCGTCCTGGGTTGTTGGTTAACGCATCCAGTAGGCTTTCACTCATCCACCATTCAACAGCATATAATAACATATTTATACAGCTAAATCAATGGTTTGGACGTCGAGGGACCATCTTCATAACAGCACTATTTTCGTTCCTCACTTGCATATGGCAAGGCGTTACCAATTCCTGGGAACATCTCTTCGTTGCTAGATTCATCCTCGGAATTGGCATTGGTCCCTAAGAGCGCGACAGTTCCTGTATATGCAGCCGAGTGCGCGCCTCTCCACCTATTCGCGGGGCCCTCGTAATGATGTGGTACGTTTCCACGTCGTATCCAACTTTAACTACGTAACATCTAAGGTATTTGGGACAGGCAAACTTGGACAGCCTTCGGTATCATGCTCGGCTTTGTTGCCGATTTGGCTTTTTATAGAGTGCCCGATAAGCCACATATCACCGGTCTCAACTGGCGTCTAATGTTGAGTAGCGTGAGTAGCAACTGAAAATATTCCGTGTTATCGTTGTCTAACTTCAGTCAAGGCTGGCCTTCCCGCTCTTTTCATTGTGGTTCAAGTGTTTTTCTGTCCCGAATCTCCTCGGTGGTATATGATGAAAGGCCGCTACAGGGAAGCGTACAACTCCCTCTTAAGGTTGCGACACAAGCCCATCCAAGCTGCGAGAGATTTGTATTGTATGTCTAAGTGTTTGTCGAACTCAACTTCTGTACTTAGCCGTCTGCAGATATTCATGTTCAACTCGAAACTGAGAAGCAGATTACTCGGGATCGGAGTAAATTGTGGGAGCTTTTTTCCATTCCACGGAATCGCCGTGCTACCCTTGCCTCCGGTATTGTTATGTTCATGTGAGTATATTTTCTTCTTGGCTGGCACACGGTACTGAGCGTTGTATTTAGGCAACAATTGTAAGTCTGTGTTGTTTTTCCGCGTCCATTCTGATGTAAATATATTCTTAGCTGCGGTATCAACGTCATTGCATACTATTCGGTAAGCTGTCCTTGGCATGCGAGGAGATACAATCGAACTCACACGCCTGATAGTCTAATATTTTTTCTGAGGCCAATTTCACCGAGATTCAAGCACTTTTGGCTTCGTGGGGCTTTGGCATGGTCAACTGGTTGTTTGCGTTCCCTGCCGTATGGACCATCGATACTTTCGGTCGTCGCAACCTACTCCTGACGACTTTCCCGTTGATGACGATCTTCTTGCTTTTGACTGGCTTTGCCTTGTAAGCCTATCCAGTTCCGCATAGATCATAACGCTCAACAGTCCCGTTTCAGCTGGATTCCTGAAGAAAATGAACATGCGAGGATCGGTGTGATCGCTTTGGGTATCTACCTGTTTACAATGGCGTACTCGCCTGGAGAGGGACCTGTGCCCTTTACAGTAAGTCAAACGAAGAGAGATAGAACATCAGCTTATTATTATTGCAGTATTCAGCTGAGGCATTCCCTCTATACATCCGTGACTTAGGAATGTCGTATGCTACTGTGAGTACAGCAGATTTTGTGTGCTTCCATCCTTCTGACCGCCAATGCTGTTATTTTAGGCAACACTTTGGTTCTTGTAAGTGCTGCTATTAATCTATGAATAAATTGTTAACGGCGTACAGTAATTTGTTGTTTCTATTACATTCCTCGGCTTCTTGGGGCATTCAAGCCTCAAGGCGCTTTTGGTTGGTACGCCGCATGGAAGTGAGTGTTTCGATGCCTTTTCAATGCTGTTCTATGATGTGCTGTTTGTAGCGTCTTTGGGTTTTTTGCTATATTATTATTCCTGCCCGAGACGAAGGCGCTTTCTTTAGAAGAACTAGACCAAGGTAGGTCCATTCCTCTTTAATTTTACATTCACGTAACATCTTTGCTGCAGTTTTCAGCGTTCCGACGCACGTACACGCTGCATACCAGATTAAAGCACTTCCGCACAACATCAAGAAGTATATCTTTAAAATGAACGTGCCCAGACCTACCGCCGTTGTATGATCATGAACAGCTTGAAGGAGCTCCGAAAACGTATGCGCCTGGAGGGGCGGGGCATGCATGAATACCCAGATCATCCCGACGATGTAATGTTACGTGTGGAGGGATAAGTAATGTGATGGAAAGAACAAGGACACGGAAGAAACGTCACGACTCGACGATTAATGAAGTAAAGATGTTTTGTACTTTTAATGTATCATATATGTACAAGCTATCTGTAACAAGTCGGCCTTTGGCCCGGTCCTTACTCTTCATTTCTTCCCCTCGTTTGTCGCTCCCACTCGCTCCACCGTTCTCGACACGTTCCATAACATCTATTTGATATCCGTTAGTAGTATATAAGAGCTACGTACCGCTGTAGTAGCTCGGGTTTTTCGCAACAAACCAGCCTTTACACCTATCACACATCGCGTGAAACTCCTTCGTGAGAGTACGTGACTTTCGCCACCCTCTCACTATCGTTGTGCTAAAAGGAACCGTGAACACTGGTAACTGGGTTCAAAGCGCCCGATCATAGTCACAGCCACTTGAGCGAGTTGTATTATACCACATCATCTCCTTATGACATCGTACACCACTGGCTGAAACTTCCATGACCCAAACAACTTTTCTTCAATATGAGGCTCCTTGTGCGTATCCGGGTTTGGCTAGTTTTGTTAGTATTGACGCCCTTGATAGGGCCTGTGCACAGTTTAGATTGGTGCAAGTCGGCCGCGCCAGGACAGCAACTTTGGCCGCGCTCTGCCTACCGTATTGGCATCGCCTCATTCACCGAAAATTACAACAACCGCATCGCAGTCATCGGTCTACAAGACGAGCGAGTCCTTGTCGAAGACGACTACACGGACCAATACCCCGACTTTGCCACGCTTTGTGAGGCACCCCACGGATATCCAGCCACCAGTTTGCAGTGGCAGCCAGCTTCAGCGACGAGTCATTCATGGACGCAGAAATCGCCAACGACGGAGTTACTTGCGACCACGGGTGATGCGCTTAGGGTGTGGGAGTATGCAAGCGATGCCTCTTCACAAATGTCGAGTTATGTCGGCCGCCAGTCAGCCGCCATGTCGCATAGTCTTACGTTGAAGACTGCATTGTCGGGGGTGCGCCGCCGTCGTCTGTTCTTGTTTCCAAGATTGACCATGCCTTCCAGCAATCCAAAGTCCAGAATCAGTCAACTGGTGCTCCTTTGACCAATTTCTCATGGAACGAGAAAGTTCCCAGTCTTATTGTGACTTCTTCCATCGATACAACGTGCACAGTCTGGAACATAGATACCGCAGCAGCCATAACACAGCTTATTGCCCATGATCGCGAAGTTTACGACGTTGCATGGTTGCCAGGCTCGACCGATATCTTTGTATCTGTCGGAGCAGATGGCAGTCTTCGCGCTTTTGATTTGAGGAGCTTAGAGCACTCCACAATCCTGTACGAAACACCAGTTCCAAAGAATGTTCCAGTCCCCTCTGTGTCGCCTTCCTCTTCTGCCCGTCCACCGACTTCCCCTTTGCTGAGAATCGCATTCAATCCTTCAGATTCGAATTACATGTCTACATTCCACATGGACGGCTCTGAGGTACAGATATTAGACATGCGGAGTCCTGGCCAGCCCGTCATAGAGTTGAAGGCTCACCATGCGCCGGTTAACGCGTTAGGATGGGGGTCCGCCGAGCACCCTCTGCTAGCAACTGCCGGTCAGTGACAAGTTCCTTCTGCCAGCGACAAACAATTGACTTTTTGTATCAGCTGACGATTGCCAGCTACTATTGTGGGACTTGGCAAGTTACACGCAGACAGGCGCATCACCCAGAAGCGCCGGATCGCGTTTGAATTCTCCGAGACCTGATGTAAAGAAAACGGATAGTCACTGAGCCCGTGATGGCGTACACGGCCCCAAGTCAGATAACGAACTTGGCCTGGTCTCCTTTAATTAAAGGGATGACGATGAATACGGGCCACACTACTGGGACTGGGGAATGGGTAGCCATTGCCAGCGGCAAGTCTATTCGCGCGTTGAAAGTATGATACAGCACCGCTTTGATAGGCATATCGACCAATCCGTGTTATCTGCGACCCCATGGACTTAATTACCGGTTGAATGCTTGCTATATGTGCTTATCATGGCTGCGTGGCTTGTGGCGACACCAGGATCCACTCTTCAATGTATCTGGGGACAGGCTAATATATTTCTTGGCCTTCTTGATTACCTGAGATAAACGTCTGTGCAATCCGCATGGTGTCGTGTCGCAGCATGTGGACCAAGGTCCTATCATGCCATATGTAAGTACCCCGCTGTGCATACGCTCCAATTCGTGGACCTTAGGGGGCCTTATCGTTCGTACGGATCACGCAGTTCCAACTCATGTCGGCCACCAAGACCAGCGCTCAGGTACCCCAGACTAAAGGGCATCACCTGGATAATCGCGAATCTCGTAATCCTTTAACTGCACTATCTCAGTCTAGTCCTGTCTTTCTAGGTTCGAGTGTCGTGACAGCACTGATGGAACCATATGGAAAGAAATTACATCTTCGGATAACGTCCGGTTTTAGCACACGCTTCTTTTAAATAGATCAGAAAGACGGGGCATGATTAGTGCTTCCTACTGCGACGCTCTCCGCCGTTTGCTCTAATGGCCGACACCCAGGCAGCCGATGTCCATCCTTATGCGTCTCCCTTGATCACTTCAGAGCAGACTGCCATACGGCGCAAGACCACGAGCTCGTCTACGTCCTTTGACGAGAAGAAAGGCCATGCTGCCAAAGATCCTGAGGTTGTCATGTCCAACGACAAAGAAGAGGATGGGATCCCAACTTTTTATCAGAGGTTCCGCCCGTTCATCCTAGGAGCGGTCGCAGCTGTTATCTTGGGTTGGTGGATAAGTTCTATAGTATTGAAGGATACACGACATCGCTGGTGAGAGTTTCCCTAATTTGATATCCACTCTCTCATGTGGCCTGGGTTAGGATTGTCCAAACACTCTTTGCTTGGTTCTTCCTCCTTGTCATTGCTTTCCGGTTTATTCCCAACCGCGTTGTGTCGGAACCTGTCAGCGCAGTATGGATGCCGTTAGTTCAAGAACCATGGTACAGATTAAACCGTAGGTTACGACTGGCAATCGGATGGTTGTGTCTTCTCGGAATTGTTTTCGGCTCGGCTTTTGGTTTCAAACTCGAGAATGTAAGGTTATGCTAGCCTTCAGTATATCGGACATTGACGAGTAAAAATTAGGGTTCCAACTATGGCGATCGTGCAATTTCAGTCCTTGGATTGTTCATCTTCCAATGCGGCTTTGTGATTTCGTCAAAGTCGCGTTCCACGATTCCCTGGTAGGTGTTGGAGTCACTGTCATATATTCTTCTCATATATGTTGCTGTGCAGGCCTACCGTTATCGTTGGCTTATTCATCCAACAGGCTATCGCTTTGTTTGTGCTCAAGAGTGGAGCTGGATTCTCAATCTTCAACTGGATCGCAACTCTGGCGGCTGATTTTCTAGGCCAATCTAAAGCGGGAGCAGCCTTCTTCTTCGACGCTGAAACTGTGGCGAAAAGTTGGTTCTTCGTGAACACTGTACGAGCACGTTAACGCATTTCACAATTGTTTGCCTGATGTAATGCTTAGCTCGCGGCGATTATCTTTTTCGTTGCGTTTGTGCAAATGATGTACTACCTTGGGGTGATGCAATGGATACTGAAAAACTTGTCTGTATCATGTCTGTCTTTATTTTCAGCGCTTCTAATCATCTACTTCTTTAATCAGTGCCTGGTTCTTCTTCAAATTACTGGATGTATCCGGTGCTGAAGCCGTTGTGGCCGCTTCATCTCCGTGGATTGGTCAGGGAGAATCTGCCTGTTTGGTTAGACCATACGTTGACCGTACGTGATCAATTGAGGATCCTCTGGTCTCTCTAACGTCCTGCCGTATATACTATCTAGTCATGACAGATTCGGAGTTGCGTGAGTCATTCACTTTCTTCCCTTTCTCCTCGCGTTGATGCTATATCGGAACAGACTTGACGATGACCTCTGGGTTCTCAACAATTGCTGGGTCTGTCATGTCTGCCTACATTTCCTTAGGGGTTCCACCGGAGAACTTGGTAACCTCCTCCGTGATGAGTATTCCGGCGTCCATTGCCATAAGTAAGATTCGAATGCCGGAGGACGACGAGCCCGTCACTCGGGGTAATATTGTCATTGATCGCGGCGAAAGCAAAGAGCGGGCTCCGGTATGTATTACGACGTCTATTCGGCTTAGTGCTTATCGCGGGATGTTACAGAGTAACGCTCTTCACGCTTTTAGCCAGGGCGCTGTTTTCGGTCTTATCGTTGCTGGCCAGATTCTGTAAGCTTCAATGAGGTTTTCATATCAATAAATTTTATCCTCATGCCGTTTTCCAAGGACTAACGTTCTCACTGTCCTATCTTTGGTATCTGCGTGCGTCTGCGTTCTGTATTACACCTATGATGAACTGAAACATTATCCATCTAGTAATCAATGGCCTTCTTACCTGGATCGGTCACGGATTTGGAATCCACCAACTGACTCTCCAGCTCATCATTGGTTATATATTCTACCCTGTTACATTCTTCTTGGGTGTTCCCCGGGCCGAGATCCTCACGGTTTCCCGGTTGCTTGCGACAAAATTGGTCGCGAACGAGTTCTCTGCATACTTGGAGCTCAAAACATTGATGGCTAGTGATGGTGCACTTTCACAGCGAGGATATACGATTGCTTCATATGCGCTTTGTGGGTTTGCCAATCTTGGCTCTCTCGGTATCCAGATTGGCGTACTTGGGGCGCTGGCACCCTCTAAGGGCAAGGTTATTGCTCGCATTGCTGTCTCAGCGATGATTTGCGGATTTTTGTCTACGCTCCAGACCGCCAGTATTGCGTATGTGTTGTTTACTATCCTCATGATACGAGTCCTGACGTCCTTGTAGAGGAATGCTTGTATGAGAGGGATATATGTCCCATTTGCTTCCAAAAGAGGGTGTTATTTACTTTGTAGTTTACGTCTTCATGATATTCAGTGTATTCAGAAAATGACGATCGGTTTCCTGCACTTAGCTTGACTCCGCTAATACAAGAAACAGTGAAACAGTTACTATTGGTCGACTCTACTCGGACCGCGGCAGGCTGTTACGTAAGAACTACTTTTTTGACTCTTGACTGCAATGGACGACATACTTGAACAACCTAGTTCTGAAGCTCCTCCACCAAAACTCGATGATAATCCGGATGAACAGTCGTCGGGAGATGAAGATGAAGGCCCCGACTGGACCAAGTTGAAGTCTGTTATGTCCGTTCTCAGTTACGCAGCATCTGTGCTCAACGGCGTCCAAGGATAGGAATCTCTCGCCCCGTCATCCCCAAGCGCGGTGAAAAAGAACACGAGCCTGCAGCTGGCGGAGAGAGTGGGCTGCAGCAGCATATTTTACAACGGTCAAGAAATGCAATGTTTGAGGCGTTGAGAGCGACACGGACGATCTCCAGGTGAGTTATACATCTTTCTTCCCATCTCCATTTCTCACCCCCACAAAGCAAGACGGTGAGCTATGGAATATGGCATCCATCCCTTGCGCGTGTTTCCGTACCTGTTGCTCGAGGAACCCACTTTTCAAGCATGGGCCATTCTGCATCGCGTCTGGCGAAGGATAAAGAGAAGCCTACAAAACGTCTAGAGTTGCTCCCAGAAGAGGCAATTTATCTGATTGAGCGGGGATCCCTTTTCTGCTGGAAGGAGATCGACATTGACCTATCCGGATTTGGAAGACGTATCTGGAGCTCCAATGAGTGTGCAGCAGGTATACGCCGAGATGATTGGGATGGAGGATGTCACCGTAGAGAAATATCAGGTTTACAAGCTGATTATGTTCCATTGTTTGATCTCATATGTTGCAGGTTTACTCCTACCTCAGGCGACTGGGATATGTTGTCACCAGGACCGTACCACCTACGTCGGAATATCCTGCGGCAGCGCCATTTGAGAAGATGTGTCCACTTGGACAACCGAGACCTTCTATCTTTGAGCGAATCCGGTTAACGTTCTTTACCTGGATACTCAAGTTCTTCACATCTGCCTTTAACTGGTGGAGGCCCTCTACGTCTAAGCCGTTGGTTCTATCATGACAAGAACTATGGTTTGTTTTTTTGACTGCTTCCCCATAACATGTCTGATATTCCATTTTGTGCAGGGCATGTCTTTCGTTCTTTAAGGTTCATGCCGGCGGGACATCAGCTACCGTTACGCCAATCAAAGGAGGAGGATTCTCCTTACAAACCATTCTACAACCTTTACAAGCCTCCTACGCCATTCAAGAAAACGTCACCTCCACCTCCCGATTTTCAGATCGTCGTGATCAAGTGAGTGCAAAACGACTGCTTATCTTGATCACTTTTGAAAACTTATTTTTATCTCAAGCACTCGAACAACGCCCATGCCTTCCCTTCGAGAATTGACTGACCTCTTCGATATCTCACCCGAATTGCCCATACCTCTACCAAAAAGACCCCCTCCGCCTCGACCAGCACTTCCACCTCTTCCCTGGTGGCGAGCGATTTTTCCCTTCCAGCGCCGCGACCCAGGGACCACCCGCGCGCCGACCACATCCGTTTGTGGCACTTAGGGCAGGGAAGAAAACCGTGGTCATCGCTGCAGTAGATTCAGGAAACATCAGTTTCTTCCGCTTCATGCAGGGCGCATTCATGGACGTACCAATGGCGTAACATGATACGCTCTTTCGGTGCTTCGGTAAAAAGAATGTATAATGTAAATTGTAGAGCACGCGGATTGCTGTATCCCTTCAGTTATATATGCATTCACAACCACCACAGGAGCTTTTACTATTCAAGTAGACGAAAACGTCAATGGTTGGATCGTGGTGCTATTTGTTTCATTAAACAACCTACAATTTAAAAGTGTGTTGAAAAGTCTATTAATGTGACACGGAGAGCTTAGGTCTATGCGGCGGTGGTCAACGCTTCCCTCCTTCAAACTAGACCCTACATAGCGAATTCTATTTCTTCGTAATTGGCCTTTGTATAGGTTAGTTATTCACATATACTATTTTTCGCTAGTACTTATAGGACCAGGTTGGCCTAGCTTTCAGAATCGTAAGCCCGAGCCCTGAGCCCAAACCATGCCTAGTCCAGTGCCTGAGATAGGTATTTTTGTCGGATGCACTTACAGTAAATGGAAATGTATTGCAACAGTCTATCCAGACCGACATCACTCTTCGGAGGTGCCAGTTGACATACCGTCATCGTCGGAAAGCAATCTGCATCTAAACTCCAAGCCTCAACGACACCTGCTTCCTCCATGGATTCATCTTACAAGAAATTGCGGATGCTCTGGAACATCCTCAGTTAACATGGAGCAGTGACCCCGAAAATACTGCTGTCATTGCCTAGGATATATTTGAGAAGTCGCAAGATTTCAGCGTCATCCCGCAGTCGATTACGGAGGTTGTTAGTTTTAATTCCTCCAGCAGAGAAATAACTTAAGCCTGATATGGAGGATGATGCCGTCGCTACCTCTCGTTCTTGCGAACACAATGTCACCGGTCACAGTTGTAGATACAATGTATAGACACAAGGCACACATCTAGTTATTGACCATACCCACCTTCTACTTTGTGAAGATGGAAATATTAAATTTCTGGCGTGCACAACGTATTAAATGTAGACTCTAGAAAAGTCCAAAGGTCTCCTTTCAATATATCATTACACGATAGCACGCCTTTTGGATACTGGTTTACTACGCTTGCGCTTTTTACCCTGAGAGAATGCGTTTGCACTCTTGAGATCCCGACCCAGGTCATCTTCTTTCTTGACTTGGTAAATTCTGACTATCCAATTCTCCGAAGTGAATGCCTCATCTATCTCAGTGTCAGCAAACAAAAGTTGACAAGCTGGGTGCTGCATACCTAGGTAATCCAACGTCGGTCCTACTTTAGGGACTTGTTGGTTTCGCACTCGGTCAACCGCTTGCCCAGAGCCACCAAACAGTTCAGCAAAGCTGGAATGGAGAGCATTATAAACAGGTTAGATTCCAGTGTGAGAGGATGCTCACCGATGATAACTCATTTTGTACATCAGACTATTCTTCATGGCATTGGAAGCTCGCTCGTCGATTCTATATTCACCTTGAGGGGTGAAATAATTCGGTTCCTGTATTTCATCCGGCCATACACCTTGCGCTATGCGAACCATCCAAAGGAACTTGTTGATGTCGTCTCCGGAATAACCGATCAGACCGCCGAATATAATTAACACATAGTCCACGTCATGCTTGCGCAAAATGGGGTAGGCTATTTCCTCCGGGCTTGACATAGCTTTACCAACGGTGGCAATATGCGCTGTGGTCTGCGTTAGCGAGGCATGTTATGCATAACATCGGATCTCATACTGTTATTCCATGTGTTGTTATCAACAAGTGTTGGCCTGTCCGCCATACCAGCGATTTGGTATCCATAATCCCACCAGCTCATGACGACAGCTGTCTCCGGCGTGTTTTGCCTGAGCCAATAGTACGCCTCACGGTAATCGTCAATGATGTGTTGACTTCCATCAGGGTTGCTTGAAGCTAGCACGACCGATGGTGAAGAGTATGCGTTCGAAGTCACCCATGTACAGTGGAATACGAAGAAAGCCAGCATTCCAAAGGCATTGAATATGATAATCATACGGGTGTCGAGTCCAAAGATACCTTTGGGAGCAGAACGAGTCCCACGTTTTTTGGTATGGGCCGTAACGGCAGCGACGACGTCGTTGAGAGTGGTCTCACCGTCATTCTGTGCATTTTGAGAGACGTCTGGCTCGGCAGGGTCGATGTAGGTGTCTAGTAATGAGGAGAAGGCCACTGCAGAAGCCACACACACGCAAGGCGTAAGAGTAAGCATCAGACGAACCATCACTCCCGCGAAATAGCTGGCCATCACGGCGTAGATGATGACGAAGACATGTTCGTCGCGCAGTTCACGGAAACACAGGACAACACCGGCGGGAAAGAGGAAGATGAGAAACTGGAGATCCATGAAGAATGAAGGCCAAGCAGTTGGCTGATGCTCTGAAACCGAAGCGATGATAGGGATATATCTGAGAAGGTGTAAGCTAAATAAGTTAGTAGCTTAAGGAGAGTAAATCTCACTTCTTCGCGTATCCCGTGTCCCAGAGGGAGTAGAAGCGACCGGTCCATGGTGCAATCCAACCTGCATAAGTTAAGCCCACAAATGCAAGGGTTCCTAGAATTCCCGTCGTTACAACCGAATAGAATAAAAGATTTTGGAACTGTTTCGAGGATAGATGTGATCGGACTAGTTGAGCAAAAGCAACAATCTGGAGGAGTCCGAAGACACCAAGGGCTGCCATATGTTCACTCGTCCGCACAGGCTGAAAACCAACAAAAGGAACTTGCATGCTCGCAAGTGTTCCGATTGCATACCAGGATGAATAGGCGACATAGAGACGGCTAGTGAAACGTCCCATCAGTATCAACACTAGGGCGTGGAGAGGTATCATGTTGGTGATGAAGACGTAACCACCTAAAGACTTATATTTACTGGTGAAAGTAGGGAGGAACGAAAAGACATACCCCAGGCGGCGACCATATAGAAGTAGAATATCGCGGCGACTGTGCCGAACAGCGCACTACCAAGTTTTAAGGCTTTGATCCAGCAGAAGAACGTGAACATGAGCAGGAAGATTGCGATGGCTTCATTGTCGTAGGATCCTGCAACAGAACGGGAAATGTAGCCAGGAACAATGCCGATGAATGCTGCGGCCAGCAAGCCTGCGCTGGCGTCTTTCATCTCTTTGGTAAACCTATTAGGTGTTAACTCATTGAAGATACTGCAATAGTAATAACATACATGTAGGTCGCCCAAGCAGTCAGAGCACTGAATCCTGGCGCTAGCAGCACGCAAATGTTTCGTATATCTACCGGGAGGTTGAGAGCATGTAAGATGTTGTAGATGACGCCGCTCGTTGCCATGAGCCCAGGATAGACGGTTCCACCAACGACACGACCCAATGGATACCTAGCCAATTATTAGCAAGAGACATGGGATATCGTGGGAAGTAAAACAACCAGGCGCTTGCATCAAACCAGTTGTAAAATGCCTAAGGGAAATGAGAATACTGACGCATTCGCTAGAGTGGGTTACGCACATAGAATCCTTCGGATGCTAATACCTTCGTAGCACGACTAAACGGCATCAATTCACGGAAGCATAATAACAACCAGATGATTTACTGACAAGTTGAACCATGGATCACTGGGAATGGAATAAGAGAAAGGACCAGAACGACGTCAAGAGACTCACAATTCGTGTATGATGCTCTCAAAGTTTATCACAGCGAATAATCGAGAAGCAATAGCAGCGCCAGATATGAGAGCCAGAGCGATAATGCGCAGCAGGGATGCGGTATTGGCGACCGTCGCTGGCGAGACATTTGTAGGGAGCGGATAGGCCGCAGGCATGGCCAGTTATAATTTGCTCGTTGTGGGCCTGGAAGAGAGTCGAGGAGGAGGTCGAGGTGAGTGTAAAGAAAGAAAAGTCGCGGCGGTCGTGACCTTAACGTGACTTGGATCTATACGTGTCCCAAATTGAGGGTAGCCTAAAGTGGGAATGGTAATCGCCACGTCGTCCTTGCCGTTTCCTCACCATCACTCACCTTCAATAACATCTCTCTCGACCAGTCTGACGTCGGGCTAATCGCTCGCAGCGATGCCAGTAAATCCAGTACTGCGCCAAAGGGCAAGGGCTGTCGCTACCTCAATCAATTCCCATCGCATTCTCCTCTATGGCACGCTCTCTACTGTCGCGGTCTGTGCCGCCGTCGCCAATGCTTTAAAGAACTACAGCAACTTCTACTCTGTCGCGATATATCTATCCAAAAGCAGCCGTAGTGTTCTTGTGCGCTGCTTCGTCCGTATGTTCTCCGACCATCTATTAATTCTTCGTAGGTTTTCGCAAACTTTGCGTTCATTCTCGCCTTGTTGTGCGGTCATGTACTTCAGAAGGTATTCTTTGGTAGTTTGAGGCCAAATGAAATAGAAGTACGTGCTCCAGCTTCTTTGTAGCTCTACATTCACTTATGTCTTGCAGCGTCTGTACGACCGCCTTTGGTTCTTCGTGACGGAATCACTTCTGGCATTCACCATCTTTCGCGATGAATTCGACGCTCCTTTCGCTACCATGTTTGGGTTCCTCCTGTTTGTCAAGTCATTCCATTGGTTGGCCAGTGATCGTATCGAGTGGGTGAGTAAATGCTGTGTCTGGCATACTTCATTCCTCTCACCTCGCCTGGTTCAGATGGATCAACGCCCGTATCCGGGGCCGTCGTTACTCTTCCACGTTCGGATGTCAACTTTGTTCGTGATATTATGGACGACAGATTTTTTCATGCTGCTGTTTGCGGTCGAAAACACGCTCGAATACGGCGTGGGAGGCATGGTTCTTTTTGCATGCGAGGCGAGTCATCATTCCCTTTCTGCGCAAAACACATGCTTATCCAAATGCTAACGGATAGTACGGCATATTGATGGCCAGCGTCGCGAATTCTATCGCCAAGTATGTCTTGTCGGCTTATGATTTCCGAAGAGCGGGCGTCCATGGGGGAGAGAATGCTCCTCCCTGGGAGCAGAAAAGTATGTGGACTTTCTACATCGAATTGATCACTGGTAGGGTCTTCTTTCAGACTGCAGTCAATTGCGCTCATCATTGCGGTTAGACTTCAGCAAATTGACGACCTATCTCTGTTTCTTTGCCATCATTCTCACCTTTTATGGCCTCCCGTTGAACATCGTACGGGATATCTACTTCACAGCACGCTCCTTCGTGACTCGCTTAAGAGCCCTTCATCGGTATCAAACTGCGACCAGAAATATGGACCAGAGATACCCAAACGCTACTCAGGAAGAACTATCTTCAACCGATCATACATGTATTATTTGTCGCGAAGAGATGACACTTCCACAGACTCCAACAGGGCCTGCACCTGAAGGTCCTAACATGACACCCAAGAAGCTACCGTGTGGTCATATATTTCATTTTCATTGTCTACGGTCTTGGCTGGAGCGGCAGCAGAGTTGTCCTACTTGGTCTGTGGATGATTCAGCCCTGATATCTATATATACTAAACATTCGTATCACAGCCGTCGCACTGTCCTGGAAACAAATCCTCCAGGTGTTCAGGGCGGGAGAGATCGCAGGACTCCTGGTGTACAGGCGCAAAGAAACGCTCCTGCGCCCAATCGTAACAATGCAGCAAACAATGGCGCCGGTAATACGATGGACATGCTACGCCGCCTACTCAATAACCCAAACGCACCGAATCGGCCTCTAGATGCTGGTAATCACGCGGTAAATGTGGTTATTCAGTATGACATCCATAACTATCCACCGCAAAACACTGCCAATCAGCGCGATCAGCCACCATCGCAGCCACGACCTTTGCACCCCCCTCCGCAATTTGTGGGCTTTTATGGTCCCGGCGGTGTATGGCAGCCATGGCCTGAGCATGTTTCCCCAGAAGCCACCCAAAATAACGCCTCTGGTGCATCGAATTCAGCGTCAACTTCATCTACTGAGCCTGAGCGCGCGACCAATATCTCCGCTTCAACGGCATCTAATGTTCCAGCAGCGTCTTCAGGTGATGCCCCAGTCCTGTCTCCAACGGATGCCCCCCTGCCGTCGTCAGAGTCAATAAGCCCCAGTGAAGCTGCTGCGCTCGCCGCCCTTCGGCGGTTGAATCGCAAGGATCCATCACATGATAGGGCTCCTAGCACAAGGTCTGATTCTTCCTCTTCCTCTTCTTCAATGTCAAGCTCTACATCGGAGAGCAGTGACGGAGAAACATCACAAATCAATGAATCCCATCCTACCTCGCACGCTACTTCAACAGCACACGTCGGTGTCCCTTCATTAATACCTCTTGATTACATACATTCGGAATCCGGATCAGTACCCAGGCCACCACTAAACTCACAAGGTCGCAACCCTGGTCGGCCCTTCAACGAGATACCAATCTCACAATTACCTCCCACGTTGACAGAAGACCAGTTGGCTGTTCTGGACACGGTTACAAGGGAGGCTATCGATGAGCGGATACGCATCCTTGAAGGAGTATCGGGTGCAGTTTATCGGTGTATTGACGAACTTATGCGAGTGCGGAGTGCACTTCCTCCGCTACCAACCACCACACCTACACCCACAACGTCGACTACGGCAGGTAATGGGACCACAGGAAGGGAAGAAGATTCCAACGAGTAAGAAGGGTTTCAATATTATATATTTGAAGTGTACACATAGTCATGCAATGGATGTCATTTCCGGACACTGGAAATAAAGATCAAGGGCCATGTTACTTTTGAGGTAGAATAAGATCCAATCGTTGTTTTACGAGGGACGCGTCAACCTCGGACTTGTCCACAGTCGCGTAGAAAGCCTTCATAATTTTTCCAGTGCTCTTCCGTGGGTCACTGTCGGCAGTGATACCCTCCGCTTCCATAGCAGCACGCAGTCTCGAGTCTACCTCTGCCTCGGATAGTAGTGGGGGTAGAAACGCTGCCAATGCGTTGACTTCTTTGGACTCCTTGTCGACGAGATCTTGTCTGTTCGCTTTCGCATATTGGTCGATGGCATCATTCTGATACTTGGTTACAGGTGCGATGAACGGTGGAAACGTGTGACTTACCCGACGAGCAACGGCTTTCCGTATGATGGAAACTATAGCAGACTGGGAAACGGGGCCCTTAGCCTTGTCTGCAGCATAGACTTCAGAGAGAACAGACTAGAGGACGAGATAGGTATGGAGGATGCAGAGAAGAAGACGTGACGAACGCGAAGTAACGTTGAGGTAAATGGATCCTTGTTCTTCAACGCATTTTTAACACCAGCAGTCAGTTGTTCTCGAATGGGAGAAGCTATGTGTCTGTGAGTAATAGTATTTAAATAGAGAATGACACCGACGCTGGACAGAGGTAGTGTACAGACGGAAAAGTGGACGCTGTAGGAAACAGCGAGCAGTACACAAGCTGGCCATGGAGAAAGAAGAAATCCACACGTGATTCAAAGGCGTCTCTCCGAGCGAGCATCATCATATACCTAAGTACGTATACAGGACGGCGAATCCTACACGATGAGTGTTCCCTTTCCAACGTCTGGTTCATTTATCCAGTCCGTTCGTGAATCTTCCCGGAAAGCACGAACTGAAAATAAAATTTCTGTAATCTATCATCCTTGCGAATGCTAGTATGTATACTGATCTTCCAGTTGTAGATTACCAATGAATCAATTCACCGTCTTCTAACCTCGCCTGCATTTACCCAGTCCTTTGCTGGCGTGAGCAAGTCGCATGGCCTTGCCATGCCGCTCAATTTCTCATCGCCCCTTGCTGAACTAAACGTTCTTGCTATCCTCTCCTTGCTGAATTTTGGCTCTGGTTACCGTGTGCCCCTTCATGAAGCAACCGGGCGCGGGGCATGGGACTCAATACGTGCACTGGTACTATCAATGTACATTGCTGATGAAAAACTGCTCACCGCACGGGGAATGCAATCTGTGGACGTCGGCAAGGTTGCAGAGTTGATGTGTGTCAAAATCCACATTGAGAAACCGCACGAGTCGATTCCGGGTGTCACGGTGGGCGAACTTGGTGGCCCAATGTATGAGCTGACGACGTTGATCACGGACGTCTTGAATGAGACGGGTGATATTTTGGTCAAGGCAGGGTATTCCGATCTTGGCACGTTTGTGGCACAGACCCTGGAAGCCAACGATGCAGAAGCTATTCTTGAACGGGCAAGTAAGAACTGTATTCGCACTGGATCTATCTGATGACAAGTATTGATAGCTTGTTCGTGCGATCCCAGCGTTCAGAGATATGGCCCTCGTAAACGGACATCCCATCTACTGTTTCAAGAAAGCCCTGTTTCTGATTAACGGTATACGCGTCCGTTTTGGGGCTACATCTTCGTCTCCGTTTCCCATCCCATCCACTTCCCATCTTCCCATCTTTAGTGACAACGTTATTCCGTCCTTACTCGTCCATCTGGGTGTCATCGATCTCTCAGCATCCCCGATGCAAGCCGTCTTTTCGGACGCACACTCTGAGCAAAAAATAGCGTCGCTGCTGCAGGCAAGTGACGTTTCCAGCCGGCAAGCGTCTCGGGGGTTACCTCGGGAAGGGCCTAAATTAACGGCCGAACAGTCATTCATTTTACGTGCTGCTGCGATTGATGCTTGCGAAATGATTGTATCGGCAGCTGAATCAGCATCGTTAGGTGTTACCTTGAGCGACCTTGATGCGTGGCTCTGGCAGATTGCCAAGGATAGGGATGATTATCGCCAGTTGGAAAGGTTTACTGAGAAGGGGACCGTATTTTTTTGATGCAGTGCACGCTGGAATCTGATGCAAGTAGATAGGACGCAACGCGGGCGATATATAATGTGTTGTTAAGACGATCTTTTTGAGCTAAGCGTACCTTGCGAGATATTAAAAGGTACTTGCCTTTGCGCTTGCCTTTGCTGTTGTTTTACTCCCTCAATGTCCTTTCATCTGATGTCCCCAGATGCTGACACTTTCTCGACTCCTCCAACATCCCCGTTCGATCCTTCAATCCGACCTTCGCTCTCGAGAAAGAGCAGCAGGCCTTCATCCTTGCATCTAGACTCGACTCGCACGATATGGCCAAATAATATTGTTCTAGAGACATCTGCGTCAGGTGCTACAAATGGTCATCTATTGACCGGCAATGAAACAATGACGCCAACTTCAACCGCTCCTTCTTACTCCAGTATGGATACTCAATCGGCCTCCAGCAGCAATGGCATCCCTCACCAGCCAATGCACTCTCCTTGTTTCATTCACTCTCACCTCGACAAAGGTGCTTCCCTCACAGAGTGGCTGCGAAATAAGCAAACCGCCCTTATCCCAGAAGTCGGCGTCGCCTATTCTCTCCAGCGTAATGGAATCAACGGCAGCAGTGACAGTGACCACCGAATATCATCAAGCCCTAGTTCTGTTATCAGCAGTAACAACGACGAGGTCGACGAATATGGTGCCAGTCTAACCAAACAGCTTGCCGAGACCGCCGTCGGTGTCCGCGAGATGAGCAAGCAGCTTGGTACGTCCGGTTATGCATACTTTTGCTGACTTCTTATCTTACATCCGTTTCTTAGGTCGTGCTCGTGTCAGATCAAATATTCAAAACGTTCTCATCATAACCAAAGCTAGGGACAATCGTCTTATCAAGCTCACTAGAGAGTTGGCTTTGTATCTCATGCTCAAGCCTCGGAATGGCCAGCAACGCGGTCTCGTTGTGTGCGTGCACCGTTACGCTCCTTGATAATATCTGTTCATCTTGTCATTTAGATACGTGGATAATCAACTACGGCATTCCCGACGATTTGACGCAGAGGGCATCGAACGTGACCATCCAGAGCTCTTCGTTCCATTCCCCCGTCGCCGTACTTCTAGCAGCACATCGTTATCATCTCTCGCCTCCGCATCTCTTCCTAAAGAAGAATTATATCTTAAAGAAGAAGGACAGCTACGTTACTGGACGAGCCATATGTGCAGCCATAGTCCCCATCTCTTCGATTTCGTCGTCACGGTACGTTGCGATAATACTTCCAACACTGTTATCTCATATTCTCCCACAGCTTGGTGGTGATGGAACAGTACTCTTTACCTCATGGCTCTTCCAACGAATTGTCCCACCCGTCCTCCCATTTGCTCTCGGCTCACTAGGATTCCTTACCAACTTTGATTTTGCCGACCACCAGGCTGTCATGGATTCTGCTATCGATTCTGGTATACGCGTCAATTTGCGAATGCGATTCACTTGCACGGTGTACCGCGCTGTCACCAATGAGAGCAAATGCCGAAAAGCTGTCAAGAAGGGGGAAACAGGAGAGATCATGATGAGGAAACTCGAGAAAGATGGCTGGGAAGCCGTTGAAGGCAGCTGGAGTGGCGGCATCGCATATAATGAAGGCTGCAAGAACCCAAAGGACAAGGAGATAATGTGTTTTACGACACGGCCTGTGGAAACTTTTGAAGTGCTCAACGATCTCGTGGTTGATCGAGGTCCCAGTCCTTTTGTCAGTCTTCTGGAGCTCTTTGGTGCCGTTAAACCTTTCGTCTTTGGCCTCCTGTACTCAAGTTCTTTCCTTTCTAGGTGATGAGCACCATATGACGACGGTTCAAGCGGATGGCCTTACTGTATCAACTCCAACAGGATCAACGGCGTACTCGGTATCTCCACATCCACCTTTTGTTATATGCACGCTGACCTTTTTATTCTATCCAGTTATCCGCTGGAGGCTCTCTTGTTCACCCAGAGATACCTGCTATACTCATTACACCCATATGTCCCCACACACTCTCTTTCAGACCCATGCTTCTTCCGGACAGTATGGAGTTACGAATATGTGTTCCTTTCAATTCTCGAAGCACTGCGTGGGCCTCTTTCGATGGTCGAGGACGGGTCGAGCTGAAGCGTGAGTTTTTTATACGTATAATGTCATTATGCTAATAGTGCCATTAGAGGGAGATCATATCAAAGTGACTGCATCGAAATACCCCTTCCCGACCGTATGCGCTGACAAACAGTCAACCGACTGGTTCCATGCCATCTCTCGCACACTCAAATGGAACGAACGAGAACGGCAAAAATCGTTTGTAATGGTAGAAGAAGGTCCAACAAAGCCGACGAAGCGGAACAAACTCAAGAACGGTTCTTCGGAGGTTTCTGGAACTGTTACTCCCGAAGTCGTGGAAGAAGAGACTGTGGAAGACGAAGAAGAGGATGAGGTGTCTGACGAAGAGCGCGATGACAGCGGAAAATTCGATATAGACGATTCCTCCCCCGAAGCAGCCATGGCTAAAGCATCGAAGCTCGTGCGATCAAATACAGAGACGATTGGCCAAGAAAAAGTGCAGGAAATAATTGCGGAGGACCAACTTCACAAAGCTCTCGCCCGACCCGCTGTTTCGGTATTAGAATCTAAACGGCGGAAATCACGTTCACGTTCACGTTCCCGACCGGGCTATCACTCTGGTGTACAGACACCCGGCCGATACGCAGGTCCTGAGTCTCACCCTCCCATCATTTCTCCTCGCCGGGTAGAGTTTAGCATTCATGGGCCCGTATCACCCACGGATTCTACAGATTCAGGACCATCAGACTCAGGACATCGTGGCGCAAGAGACGATATACATTCTTCAGGGAAGTCGAGTGGGAAGAGCAGGATACCGAAGGATAGAGATCTGGACGCCGACGCTGTACAGACACCTACTGTTGGAAATTCGCTTTATCATCGCGGGCATTCACGCTCACGGTCTCGAGACGCTTCGGGGCATCGAGCATTTGCTGTTTGGGGACAAGATGAGAGTGATAGCACTACCAGTGATAGTGACACCTAGGCCATTCGTATAATCATTAAATGCATCATACATCTTATGCTTTTAGAATGCTGCTGTTGTTACGAGTCCTATTGTATGAGGAATTCAAGCTGAGAGCAAGGGTGCTCGGGAATGTCGGCCCGGCACATCCGGTAGGGTGGTTGGTTGTCCCCGGAGGGGGGAAAATTTTTCTGTGTATAAACCTTTAGGTGCTCTTAGAGCCTAAAAATATATATATTTTATACATATCTGTATTCATCCTTGTGATGAAACAGTACACCATTCAATGGCTGATCACAATCTGATATGGGGATATGCTAGGGAGGAGATAGGGTGATTTCTATCAGTGTACTGCACAAATAAACATATGATGTCGTAAAATATACCTAAATATAGGCATAATAGAGTTACGTGGGTGGTTGGTTCTGCCCTGCTGGCTTGAAATAAAAATATTGACCCATGTGCAAAATTTATTGGACTGGGGTGTCTATCTTCCCAATGTCCGGCCATCTCTGCCAGATTCCCATGGTTCAGACTCCACCTGTAGTAGTCCTCACCATGTACTTTAGACCATACTATACACGTTGTATCTTCAGTCACTGTGTCTCTTCTGCCACCTCCTCAGCCTATTAAATTTTATTTCCTGTACCCTCTTGGCTGA